GCAAGTGTCAACGTATAAAAATAATAAAGGTCTGTACAGTCGATAGAATTAATGTCATCTAATGTATCCGCATTTACAAAATTGCAAGATATGCTATTTTTTGATGCTTCCATTTTACATCTTATCCACAGTAATGATCGTAATCGTAAATGAATAGAAGTATATTTATTCATAGGTTTAGAATGTACCTGAAGCTGTTTATAGTGATGGGAATAACCTGGGTTCTGGAAATAATAGGGTGGTCGCTCTATGATGATCTTGCTTGGGCACCGATCATTTGGTATCCTGCAAATACGATAAATGCTCTGCAAGGCCTCATCATTTTTATTATATTTGTGTGCAGAAAAAAGATTTTGCAACAACTGTTAAAGCGATTTAATTGGCAAGATAGTGCTTTTGCAAAAATGCGATGTTGCAAGGTTTTAATGAGTGACGATAGCGCAGCTTCGGATACTACTTCTCAGGAACAAAACAATATGCAAAATTTGAATCCTTCTGATAAGCGCACGGAATTCAATTAGATTTATTCTTATCATTGCAATCAGCTAATATAAGAGAAAGAAATTTCTGGGGATGAGATAGTAATACGAAAAGATTTAATTCTTCAAAAACTGTGATCTTATATCATGCATTATGTTATGTGACCCCGCGTTTCTTTCTTTCGACAACGATCCTCGCACGATCAAATCCCATTCCTATATATTTTCCTACATACGTAAAATAAAATAACTGTCTTTTATAATACTGAGAAACATATTATATCATTGAAACTAAAGTTAAAGATCTAACATAAATAATTACTTTAAATTATAAATGCAAATATACACACAGAAAGATAAAAAGGAGCATATCTTACGTACCGCAGTATCACATATTTCGATTAATAATTATATTAAAGAAAGAACATATATCTTTTACATCTTGCTCGTCTCTGTCGTGTAGAGAGTACGTATTTGTATGTACTCACGTAACAATAAACTGTTTACTTAAATGAAATCGAATAAACAGAGAAAGTCTATACACATTCTTGATCTTTTTCAATCTTTTTAATTTGATGCTACCGAATTATTTCTACATGAAATTCTAATTCTTATTAAAATTAATTAAAATTATATAGCTATTAAAAAGTTTTAAAGAATCGATTCATTGAGTATCATGTATAATAAAAAGAAAATAAAAGATATTCCCATAAAAACAATTATTTAATTTTATTATATTAATTTTATTATTCACTTTATTTCATATACTATTTAAATTAAAAATTTATTTATAATATGCATGCATCTTAAAAGTGTATCAGATATAAAAATATCAAAGTTTACATTTAAAACAATTATTTATAATAATTTAAATACCAAAAGCAACTATTATGGCGGATTAACTTAATATAAATATATCATAATAGAATAATAGGAGACAGAAGCTCCTATGCTGACAAAATTAATTATTACAAATTTCAGAAGCAATAGTACTATTAGTTCAGTATAAATGTTAAAAACATTTCAACTCAGACAAAATTCATTATTATTGATATCACAGACAATTATATCATTTTCAATCAATAACACAAAACGTGACAAAACTATTATTTAATATAAATTATAAATTAAATATTTAACGTATTTATATTTAAAGTATTTTATAATAAAATAAATATGTTGAGGAAAATTTGTAAAATGACGAGCAAGATATAATACAACAAAGTTCTGTTTATTTATTAAAGAAAATATAATTGAAAAAATAACTTTTAACAATTTATTTTAATAACTCAAACGTAGTGGAAAATTTTATTTTATAAAGCTTTGCATATGTTTTGCATATGTTGTATTATTATTGCAATTTCAGGATCTACTAGTGTTTTGACAATAAGGCCATCAAACCTTGAAAATTGATTTCAAATATGGACACAGCTCTCGCGACATCTTTCATAGTCATACTCCTTTCTAATTACTATTTATAAAAATATCTAATTATATATTTATTTTGTCCAATAGAAAGCAAGTTAGTCGCGTTTCGATTCATATCACGTAAATATATCAAGTCTTAAATAAAGCATACTGTGATCCGCGTACATTGTATACTTCGATTGTATACTTCGATTTAAAATCTGTTGGCCCTTAAGTTATTTATGTTAAGCAGTTAGTTATTTCATAACGTCTCAGTTGTCTTATAGCGTTGAATTCGGTAACGTAGTCATTAATGTATCGTTACTCGCATTTTTCTTGATTTCTTCTCCATCCAAAGTTATAGTGGCATTACATATCGGAATCGGTTTTTTCTTGGTATCCAGACCTAATCGCCTACGGAGCTCTCGGTAAACGCGATTCTTCAAGATGAGAAAAGTGAAGACAAGTATGCCTTGGAGGCAATTAACGCTTTCATTCGTGAAAAACACGTAGTTCCAGTATTCGTACTTTAAACATTTTACTAGAAAACACGACACCACCTCGTTATTCCATGATATTCCCATAACGATAAATAACTTGACGTTCATGAGAAATCTGTCGGAAAAAATAATACATTTCAATAAAATAAAATAATTTTTAATAAAATAATTATTTAATAAAATGAGTAACTTACAATTAACAAAAAATATAGATAAAAGCAAAGTTCAAGTTTGATTGAACTATATATATTTACAAATTCTTAATACGATTATTACAACAAAGAGCTTATTTTTCAAATCTTCCCCATTCATGGAATTTTAATTAACAATAAATAGGAAATTATTTGCAGTTCTATTCTGAATACATTTGTACACATTGTAAATTATGTTCCATCAGTAATAAATTTTTAATGTATTTGTTACTTAAAGTCTTAATATCAATTATTATTATTATTATTATTATTATATTATTTAAGATCTCCCTTGGAATCTAATGAGTTATATCCAAATATGCGAAATCACAGCGAAAGAAACCGACATTATTTTAGATTTTTAACCAAAATGTATTCCTGACTACATAAAATTTTATTGTCGTGCTTCTAATTTTAATTTTAGATAGAGAATGATCATCAAGTTCTTGCATAGATATCGACTAAAATAATTTCGAGGAAGGATGTTCTAATGAAAATAATAAAAATTGAAATGTTTCGAAATCATGAGTTACCCAAATCTATGTGCATTAATTGCGAATTTGTTGTCAAAAATATCTTTTTTCGTTTTTATCGTTTTCGTTATTTTTGTGAATGAAATCATTCTGTTTCTCGCTGAACTGACGAAAAAGAATAACTTACTTCTTCTTATCGGAATGGTATCGTTTGCTTTTTGGATCCTCAGGGTCCATAGTCATTTTTTTAATCTCTGCTTTTACTTTATTGCAATACGACAATGTCAGAATAAAGAATCTGACATTGGATAGCAGTAGAATCAATACTGGTCCGGTGAAGAAAACTAATTCACCATACGAATTCTCATCTTTTTTAACATCTAATTCTGTAATATTTAATTTAAAAAATTAGAAAAACATATTATTTGCGCATTATGAAGAAATTGTATTGTAAATACAAAAATATTATATTTTCTGAATTTATATCATTTGATTATTACATTTGATTAATATCTTTATATTAAAAAAATTAATTTGACATACTTCGTTATACAAGATAGATTGAAAAATATAATTCAATAATAACTTAAGACTTTGATAATTTTATCTTCTTTTTAAATTTTAACAATTATTTGTTAAAAATACTTGTTACTTGTTGACTGTTATTGAATGCAATTATTTTGGCAATATAAATGAAATTTGTTATAGGAACAGTTACGATTTTTATTGCATATTATAAATCAAAGATATCTATATTTATGCTAGCACAGGAAAGTTGTTCCAAAAACTTTTTATCGGATAATTGTAGCATAGTAATAAGAACGGAAACTTTACGTTTGCCTTCTTCTCAATATTCTGAATGTCAAATCAATTTTCTGACTACAAGTTAATTTCTACCAATTCTCGACTTCATCTATTCCCAACATTTAAATTATAATAGCAAAGAAGTGCGAACAACTATCCACTGAATCTTTTCTGATGTAGTTCGATAGTCTTTGCAAAAATTCCGTAATTAGTATTGATAACTTGACGTTATATCATCTCAAATAGTTATTGATTGTAAGTGACTTACGTATAAACCAACACTTTCTAATGCCAATACCAGGCTGCAAATAGTACGGCAGAATATCCGTGCGGTCGGCAATGATAGTCAAGATTGTTACCACGAGGGAAAGGCCCCATGCATATGCACAGTATAACCGGAATCTTTTTCTATGCTTGTGTGCTTTAGGAATAGTACTTTCGCGTAAAACTCTATAAATAAAATAGATTATAATTATTTCAGAAGGTTAAGGATGCATATTCTTGAGAATAACAGTGTAATTTTAAGATATAACTTCGAGAACTGTTCCAAACAGAATGATAAAAAAAATCTCTAGATTCATTCTAAATGCTTCTTAAGATGATATTTTTAATAGCAATCTTAGTAGAACGCAATAAATTTGTGGAGAACGTACGCTACGTAGGGATGCCGACTATGATGGAAAGCAATTAACGGGAATGGCAAGATATTGATCAATGAAACATTTTATGAAAGCTCAACGAAGTAATTTAAATATCAAGATAATCATAAATAAAAAAATACAATTTTCCTCAATTCCTTTTCTTTAACAAACTTTCGTCGTCATAAAATAATGTCTTTTAATTTATTCAAAAATTATCTAAGAAAGATTGTCATTAATTTCCTTTTCGAGAAAATTATTGCATTGTTACATTTATTCAATTTTCTTGATTATACTATTTGTCCCGTTCACGCAATTATACATGACGTGATTACATATAACTTACCCGAATGTCCACCATATGTCAAAGCACATGACGTTAAGCCAGGTATACGCTGATAGATAATTGAACAACACGACGTAGCCTGAAAAAATAGTTATTTGTTTTTGTTTTCTTAACATTGTTTCTGTATACGTCTTTTCCAGTATATTCGTATTACCTAATACTGTGCTTGTCATTGCGATATGTTGCTGCTCTATCAGTTTAAAGTATATGCTCAAGTTGTAGACAAGTGCACAAGCATAAGTCATGGAGAAGCTACCCACATGGCACATGAGCGTTTTACCGTGAACATTTTGTAAACTCGGTAGGCACGTGTATATCAACAGAGTCATCAGCAGAAAAATGCAATTAGCAAGTTGCAGGGAGAGAATCACCTGGGTACTATCAATAAAAAATACATTTCACGTTGTATTCTTCGTAGCGTATAATACATTTATCTGAGCTTTAAAAAATTAATCTGTTGATATTATATTTATTAATTTTATAGAAACAGAGATAAACATTTTTTTTATACGCTATACATAACTAAATTGTTTGGAGGTTTCAACTAGAATATGATCTACTGTTCAATGCGTCGACAATATTTATTTGATTTTGCAAAGTTTAAAGAAATTAAGCTTGTCGAATTTTGACAGAATTTGTAGAGAAAAAGTCAAAGTCTAAATACACATAAATGCTCTAAAATTGTATGTCAATTTAATGAAATACGTTTGTTATTTTAATTCAACAAAAACTTGTATCCTGAAAAAAATTATTTTTTCGATATTACAAAGCATTATAGTAGTATCCAATTATTATTTTCGAGATGCTGCGAAACATAATTTGTGCGCAAAATTTCTTTTGTCCATTTTTGTAAGATAATTACCAATAAAGTTGAATAAAGTCAAATAAAATACATATTGAATGATACATTTTACAATTGAAGAAAATAGAAATGGCTAATTTACCTTACTGGCAATTCATCTATTGGTGGGATGAAGCACATAAACAAATAAAAGTTATAATCAAATGTTACATTATAATAGACATCCATGCAGTAATTACTCTCGTTATAGATGTCATTATCGAAAAAAACATATCCTTCTGATGTTAGCAACCATTCCTGTTTTTTTGAATCCATGGCATACGCTTCGTTTTTGCATGGATTTCCAACCACAATTCCATAATCTGAGCAATTAAAAAGCAATCTGTTAAATAAGTGCGCAAAATTTTTGTTGACAACTTATTTCAATTGTCATTAATTAATAATTAATTTTAAACAAAAAGTTAATTTTGCTTTGTGGTGACAATAAAAGAGTTTAAATATAATTAGAGAAACCTTTGGCCGTGTCAAAAGTGGACGATTTCGTTTGACTCATTGCATTCGCTAAAGCCTGGGAAAACTCTATCGGCTGATCGGGTGTAACAGTTTTATTACATCTTCCTGCATACAAAAACTCATTTTCGGCGCAGCACTTTCTTATGCAGACATTTCGATCGCAAAATTCTGAATCTCTGCAGATCCGCACTGCCAATGTTCGATTAAAAACGGAATTCGGCGTCATCTCGAGGCAAGCTGTATCCTCGGTAAGCAAGAGTTCCTCTTTGATGGTAGCATTTTTAAATGCTGGAACCATCACCTGTGAAGTTGTTTTCCATTTAATCTTATTTTAATTTGTACTAAACATGTTTAAAAGTCATGTTTATTTTTATATTTATAGTCATATTTATTTTAATATTTTTACAGACGTTTTAAAATTGTATATTTTATTAAAACATTTAGAATATAACTAAAAGCATAAAATCTATATTATGACATTTATCAAGATTCTAAATGTAATTGATAATTCATATATTTGCATAATTTATAACATGATATTAAACAAATTTAATTGGTTTCAAACGTATAAAAAAGAGAAAATAGTTATTTATAAAATTATTAATAATTATTTAAAATTCCTTAATAGAGGTTTGATTTATAGTCAACTTTTTAAGTTGTTGCTTAAACTTTATCCGTTTCATGAAAGAATGTGTCCTAAATCAAGGCAAATATTTTCATATATAAGCAATAAAATTATAATTTTCTTAGAAAATATCAATCTTGATTTGATTGAATTTGTGATGATATAAGTATTATACTTTGGCTCACATCAAGATCAAGAATCTTCCATATAAAGATTATAATATTCTTGCTTATATATGAAAATATCTTGATTTAAAATTAATCCTCTTTATTTCATTATTCATTGTTCATTTATAAAATCGATTTCTTGAAGTATTCAAGGTAATAATTTTCAAATTAAGAAATCGTACAATTATAAGAGACTTGAAAACTTAGAAATTTCGATCTTGCCTTGCTCGAATTTGGATTGTTCCGCAAAAAGATATCATTTTCGTTGATTTCATAATCGACGATTGGTCCTTTGCACGTGGGTGGCCCTTCAGTAGTTATCACGACATCTGTATCAGTTGCTTTGTTTAACAAAAATGTTACGAAGCTCTCTGATTTCTTTAACGGAGACACGCAAGCTTTCCTGTGGCTGTCATATATGGTATCGTAAGGGCAACATTTTCTGACGTATGCAACTTGCGGAAGAGATGCATTAATCGCTTTTGATTGTCGGTCTTTATTCGATAAACAATGAACGACTATTATAATGCTTTCCCCAGTTGTTTGCTTGTGATATATTTCGAGGCAAGTTGGTACCTGCAAAGAATTTACTAGATTTACGAAGGAACATTCTTTTTTAACGAAACTATAATTTATCTCTACCATTTCACGCATAATCAATTATATAATTGAAATTGTGTACTTGAATTATATCACGTGATGATAATAACTGTTATAAAATAATTACTATAACTATAAAAATACCATTATGTGAACTTTCAAATGTTAAATTTTATATTTTCTATACGTTAAATATCAGATCTTATTAAATTTTTTCCAGTTTTGAAAAACTAAAAATACTTTCTTGCATAAATGTATATTTATTCATTTAATCTTCATTATTTTCATTATTTCCATTATTTCTATATGCATTCTTCATGGGAAAAAACGCATCGCACCGCTTGAATAAGTTAAAGCAGTGGTTATTATTTGAAAAAGTGATTGCTGTTTCAATTCATTGAAATGTTTTTATTACTTTAATTGTAAAAGATTATCTCTGATAGTCTATATATCTAGATAGTCTCTGTCCTATTGTATATTTTGTAAATTTTTCATGTACTTTTTTTTTTGTTTTTATTGAAAATGCTTAACTTCTTTTGCCAAATACCGACGTATCGCATCTTTTCAATTTGTCTTTCAATTTGTCTTAATGATAAAGATAAGTAACAACAAAATAAAAGACAAATGAAAAGTGTTATTTAATTTCACTTTTTATTATACGTTTTATCATGAATTTTGATTATGAATTTTATTAGAAACTAAGAGACATACTTCTCTTCTTACTTCATCATTAAAGATATTTGACTTCTACCTAGCTAAGCATCAGAAATCAAGATATTACTGTTCTCATTAAAGATGTTTTTCTCAATTTAATCATTCACAATTTACCTCCAAAAATTTGTCAGAATCGAGAACATTGAGTGGTGTTATTACAAGATTCTCAAGTTCGTCGCACTGAGGAACTCCTTGGAATGCCGCAGTAATGTTCCAATGGTGAAGTTCTTTTGCGTTCTTCGGCACTGAAACGCACTCCAAGATGGAATGTTCTGAGAAGATCTTTCCTGGCGGACAACATTTCGACAGGTGTGATTCCGACGACACTCCCGTCGAGGATAACACCAGAGCAAACAAAACGAGTCTTTTCGTAAACATAACTGTATGAGAATTCAATTCCTCAATTATTACAATTACTCAATTATTCCATTACTACAATTATTACTTTTTTCCAATGCAAACACTCTCTGATGATTTTTATCTCTTCTCGATGTCCAAATTACTACTTTCTTATTATTATATTATTTCGGTCATTTTGCAATGCGTTACATTTCAAAACCGCGCATTTAATTTTCGTTGTATACTTACATCTTCTTCTTTTTCTATTTTATTTTTATGTTAGTTTCTATAAAAATATAATTCTATTCATCATTGATATGTTCAATCATCGTTTTCCTTTCTCAAGAATTTCTGCATAGATTATTTTAAATCATATATTTAAGCCAATTCCTTTAAGTACACTTTAAGTACACTTTAAGTTCTGAAGACTTATGCGACTGCTCATGAAGACTTATAGTTGTGCAAATTTTATGCACAGCTAAATTAATACTCATACAGTAATACGCACATACTAGCTACCTCTTCATTCGTGTTTTGATTCTTCTATTCCAAGCGTTGTCTTAAATAGATTTGCGTCAGCTAATTGGGATGACGTCAACTCAGAGAATTCAGAGAGTTGGAGTTTATATGTGAACACTATTAAACATTCAGAAAAAAAACAGCTTATATAATTTGTATTATATGGTATCTGATATCACATAACCATATAATATCGGATTATTAAATTTTCAAAAGTCTCCAACTACAGAAAATCTGCAGATAAAAATTTATGTAACACAATATCACAATATAAGTGAATTTATTAATCAATTCACTTTTTTCACTCTCAATGTTCGCATTTGCTAATTGCAATTGCAAAAGGCTAATGACAATAGGGCTCTTTTTTATGCTGTCATTTTTCATCTTCTTAGGAATGGAATCAAATATTTGTCCGTGCACTCTTTCATCCAAAACGATTATCGTATTATCTTTGTCTCAAGGACAGCTTCAATCGATTATTTACATAATACCGTCTAAGATAACGTCGTTATTAATGCATTATCCTTCCGCGTTCGTGAGTCATGCAATGCGCTTGCGATAAATATAAACGTGTAACTAGTTCTGCGTTCCATACGTTTTTCACAACGCAATGAAACTAAGGATCACTTTCCTAGAAAGTTAAATTTGCGATATACATTTGTGATATATTTTACGTGTTTTTTAAGAATAATATATAAATATTTCTTATATATACATATATATATACATGTTCCTTTTTCTAATTCTTCGTAATATATATTTTATTATATTTATAATATTTTGTTGATTACTGTTGTGGGCGAATGTTCAGTGCTTTCACGCGTTTTCCAGGAAAAAAAATGCCTCGGGAAACGTAATCGAGAAGACTAGTTTTCTTTGACTTTATTAATAATCCTCGTTCGATGATTCAGATTTATAGAGCTAGCAATCCTTTCGTAGACACAATGTTTTATCACGCACTTTAAGGAAACTATGAGACTTGTGGTCGTGTCGAGCGTTCGGAAAAATCTGTTCGCAGGATCGCGAGGACGAAGTGCAAAACGATATGTTATGAATTATCATGATCCATATCGATCATGCGCAAATCGCGAGCGAAACAAGGAAGCACGCAAAATGAAAATCCCCCAATTAAAGAAAATAAGTGTAATGAATCACTGCTAGAACGTATTTAACGTTGTTTTATCTTTTTTCCTTTACATTATATAAATAACGTATTATTAAGGGATATTATTTTTTACAATAATATTATGTATACTTTTTCCCATTTCCTGTTATATTCCTGTTATACTTCTCATTTTCTTTCAGGAAAGTTATTAATATTGTTATTGCAGATATATATTATTATCATATATTACTTATTGTATTTATATTGTTATTTGAAAATTATCTTTAACACAATTAACGATTACTAAAAGGAAGTCAACTCCTGATTTCATCAATTCCTTATTTTTTATGACAATATATAAGATCTCTTCTTTATTGCTGTACTGGACCGCACTA